CACACTTCGCCTCCCTTCCTGTTGGAGTTTGTTCCTGCTCTTCTGGGGAAAATGAAGCTGGACGTTGTTAAAACGGGAACATTCTGGACCTTGTCTTTCAGGTTTTGGTAGGCTCATTGTGGTCAGCTGTTGCACACTCCCCAGAAACTTTTACAGATTGCATCTCGCTCTTTCGGGTTTCCCCCCTGCTTGACCTGAACAGGAGAAAACACAATGACAAGTGATGACTTTGGCAAATTATGGTCAATCACTGGAATATTACTGTAAAAATGAAACCAGGACACAGAAAACCTTATGTAAAATTCTTAAATGATCTGTCCCTTGAGGTATTTGGACAGACCATCGATGACTGGAAGCATGGACTGTGGTCAAAGAAATCGGTCTGCCAAGTCTTTTCAGGTAAGAAATAAATCCTGTGGGCTTCTGACCAAAGAAATAAAGCAATCAATCAAGACTTTTACCAAGAAAAAGTCCAAATTAAGATATGGAATTGTTTCTTGGCAAAGGTAACATCACTGGTAGCCAGATTAACGCAGGAAGGTACGTTAATGTGCCTCTTTCATCAAGTCCGTTCAACTCCTCAACCAATGCATATCTCATTTATCCACGTGTTACAAGTGTTACAAAGTTTTTTTTCTTTGGTGCTTAAACATTTTAAGTGCTGAGCGAAGGAATGGCTTGTACAAAACTATGTTGCAAGTCATAAATGCTAATATTGATGCATGACAAATAAAAGGAAGTCTACAGAACTATGTGATTTCTTAAGGACACAGTGGTGCAGCTGGTAGAGCTGTTGACTCTGCAAAAAGAGTGCAGGATTGCGTACCGGACTGCATGGAACGTTTCTGAAACTTACATGTTCTCCCAAAGCATGCATTGGTTTCTCTGGTTTCCTCTTACAGACCCAAAACATGCATGTTAGGTTAACTGATGACTCCAATTTGATGCTAGACGATTGTTTGGTTGTTTGTCTTGTTTGCCTCTATGTGTCACTGTGATGGACTTGAGACCTGTCCAGAGTGTCCCGTCTCTCACAACTAATAATCACATATAGAGTCCAACATATTTGATTCAAAGCAGAACAGTTGACTCTCATTCAAGTGGTTGACAGTGTTCATTTTTTTATTTTACACACCTTTTATAGTCCAAGAGACACATGGTGCAGAGCTCCTTGGAAACCCTTCCTGCTGCTTTACACGTCACAACATGTCTTCTTCCTGCTTGAAGACTCCACCACAAATCTGTCACAGATAGAGTGCCACATTTTTAGCAGATGGACTCCTCCATGCACAATATCTGTGCTCTGTGCTTCCTGACTGCCTTGGACAACTACTCCTCAGAACTATCCATGTTGTTTTGACGAACAGTCTGCTTCTGGAAGGAAAATAGTGTAGTCTGAGTGCTTTTCTGCATGGACAAACATGCCCACAAACTTCTGACCAATCACACAATACTCGGAGCGGGCTGTGCGAACAAAATGGTGCAATTTTTATCACACAATTACTACAATGAGAGCCAATTTTGTAGCTTTGGTTGTAAAAATTTAGGGGCCTTTAGGCTCCAGAAAAAAATAAAGAGGATGATGGATGGATGGATGGATGGATGGATGGATGGATGGATGGATGGATGGATGGATGGATGGATGGGACAGAATATAAAACTCTTATTTCCAGGTTGAGTATGGGGGTTTGTTGACACTGTTTTACATAAAGACAACAATTCAACCAACAGACTGGATTTGTTTTTTAGTCCTGAAGCTCACAGACAACAGATGCCTTTTACTATAAACACACCTCTCATGAGGAGAAACATGTACACTTTCTGTTGGCTAATGTAGGCCAGAGCGCAAGACAAAAGTCACATAAAACCTACTTTAAGTTCAAATGAAGAGATAATGGGTCTCGTCCAAACAGGCTGTTGCTGATTAAGTGGCTCAGAAAGATGTTGGCTTTTGAGTCTGGTTGACAAATGTGTAAAGTTGAAAAGATTAACCTCTTTTCTATCTGAAACAAAACGTCAGAGATCTGTTTAGTTTATCTTTCATCCCTCATTACACTGCCAGCCATGAGTTTCAGTGTGTTGCTTTAATGAACGCTGAACTTCGCCTTGACCCTAGCAAATGTGGTTTAGATTCTGCGAGTGTTGCTATTAATATCCAGTCGGTCTTTTGGCAGCACGTAGCTGATACTTAAAGAGGGAGGCAGGGCATGATGGGAGCGGAGCTGCCTGGCTTCTCAGTGAGCAGGGAGAAGTCTCTGCGTAGTCTAATGAAACTTCTCTTTTAATCTGCCTCACAGTCAGAGGCTTATTATATCAGGATTCTGCAATTGCACCAGTGTTTACAGCTACATGCTTTTTTTTTGTTGCAGTTTGAGCTGATAAGTGCTAACTTGACTGTTTTTGTGTGTGACTCTTTTGAAGTATTTTGTAACCATGTTGAAGTGAGGGTATCTGATAACACAAGAAGCAAAGTGTAGCACTTCTGGTGCAGCCTGTGGTCACATCCAGCAAGAACTTAGTAATGTTTCTACTTGTACTGCCAAACTGGGGGCAATGCAAAGGTTTAAATAATCATTTCTGCACGAACTGATATGAGCTTCTGTGGATTGGAGGTGTTTTTATTGGTAACAATCTGCTTTGGAGGTGGGTCAAGCCTTTCTTAGCTTGTCGGTACATTTCCAGTACGATCATTGCTGTTGAAGAACAACTCCAGTCTTCAGAATTTCATAGTGGTTTATGCAAATGTTATTTAACCTCCTGAGACCCTGCGTCCTCATATGCGGACATTGTATTTTTGCCTCTCTACCCATGATGCATCATTTTTTTCAACTTTAACCCTTTGACCTCATTAATAGACACTACCAGCACCCTCTAGTGGTCCCATGATAATATTCCACTCATTTGAGTGAAAACAATATGGCGGAGATCTCACTAAAAAGCTTCGAGGTACACTTCGCTGCAGCATGCAGCTCGGGGCGGTGACAGACCTTTCCGTCGGTGCCATACCTTATATGGAAATGGGACTATTGCATTCCGGAAATGAAGGTTGCTCCTTAAAGACGCGGGAGTAAGAGAGCAAAGGAAGAAGAAAGGAAGAAGTTAGAGAGTTTCTTCTACTCACGTTGAAGTACTCAGAGCATTATTTATTAATTTCTTTTATCCACCTCCCCAAACACAGACCCTCAGGTTAACCTCACAGGTTTAATGCCTAAGGTTAGTTTGTTACTGTAATATCCAAAAACAACAAAGATTTAATAAAGATTGGAAAAAGAAAAAGGGACATACCACGTGACATAACACGTTGTGTAGCCATTTCCTTACTGTAATTTATTTTTATTAAACAACAAAGAACACACAAAATGATACAATGTACAAACAAAAAGGCGTATTTCAAACAAACAAACAAACTTGCATAAAAGAGAAAAAGGATGGGTGCAAATAAAGATAAGAAAGTCCTTACTGTAAAATTTGTATTGTTAATGTTGATAGTTTTCAATAGAAAATAGTGTCACTAGCGCCCCCTTCATTTCCGGAATGCAATAGTCCCATTTCCATATAAGGTATGGGACTGACGGAAAGGTCTGTCACCGCCCCGAGCTGCATGCTGCAGCGAAGTGTACTTGAAAGCTTCTACAACAACTCTTGTACGAAAAATGGCCAAAGGAAAAATCCAAGTTACATTTAACACTTGAAACCAGTGTATTTAACACAGTTGCATCTTTAGCTTTATAAAACATGCAAAAATAACATTTTTTTACAACAGAAGCAAAGTACAGTTTCTGTAAAGATAAAGTCCTCATTTGAGGACATTGGGACTATAATTTTTTTATTAATTGTGCTGGGGTTATTAATTGTGAATAATGTTCTGGTCAAAGGGTCTGCTATTTCCTGCCATTATGTCACATTATGTTCTTCAAACTGAAGAGCAATCTGAAAGTTGTCGATGATGACGATGATGACGATAATGATGCACTTCACTAATCTTGCTCTGGTCAACAGCTGGCTGCTGTATTGCCAAAATAACTAGGAAAATGGAACCACCAGAAAGGTTATCATGACGTTTCTCAGGTTTTGCATGGTAATTGCTTAGGTATTCCTCAAAAAGCGTAACATTTTGAGACCCAGTGTCCTCATATGAGGACATCATTTTAAAAAAACACTTCCTGTATCATGACAGGGTTTTAATACTTATTAGGTCATACTAATCCCATGTGGGATTACATGGGATTAGTATGATAGATTAGTGTGACCTATGATTAGTATGACCTAATATGTATAATAAAAACCCTGTCATGATACAGGAAGTGTTTTTTTAAATGATGTCCTCATAGAAAGAAAAAATGCACATCCAGGAAAGGCTCGGGTCTCAGGAGGTTAAAACTTTTACAATACTGTGAGTTTTGAAATGCTTATTTAATCTGGCAAAATATCCTGAAATTCCTGACAGATTAGACCCCAGGCTGCACTGGAAGCACTACACCACAATGCTGCTGACGCTGCTGTGTGTTTGCAAAAAACAAAACAACCCCCTCCCCCACAAAAGGGATTCAATGTAAATATTCATGTATTGATAAATTCACACAACTATAGATCTATGAAATAACATTTGCATTTTTGTGATTAAAGGTTAAGGTGACCAATAAAGAAATTGGAGACTTACCTTGTAGCTACTAGCCAAGCAAAACAGAATACTGATTCTATAACCTCACACTTTATTTTCTCACAGCCTTTAACAGAAAACGTTTCTTTCTTACACCCTGATACGTCTGACTCATGGTTTACAGCCAGCAACACAAACATGAACAGGAAAACTCATTTTTTCACATGAACATCTTAAGTAACACATAAAACCTCCACCAAGTTACCCAGCATCCCTTGCAGCACAGCTTCTTTTAAAGGTGGCGGACTCAGCTCTTTCTGCTGTAACAGCTGCTACTGGTGGTTCTACAAGGCTACTGTAATAACGCCAAAATTGGGGACATATCCGGGGGACAGGTCATTCCAGAACGGGGCCTGGCTCTGGAAACTGGATAATCCAGAAATCCAAATTGGTTTTGACTGCACTGGGGCCAGCCATTAGTGTCATGCTCTGTGTTTTTGCTTTAGTTTTTTTTTTTCTAGTGTTTTCTCTCCCCTGCTGTCTTGCCTCCAGCCCTGCTCACCTGATTCCTCTCGTGTCTTCCCAGGTGTTTTGCATTGTCTCTTAATTTGTTTGCTTTATATTCTGAGTCTTGTCATCAGTCTGTGTCGGATCATTGTTTTGTCAGTGTTCAGTCTTCCTTGTCTCTGCCCTTTAAGTACTTGTGAGTTTTTGAGCTGCTTTGCCAGCATTTTTTAAATTCAATTATTAAAACCTTTTGTTATCTTTTTGAGCCTGCCTGCGCCCTGGGTCATTTGCTTGCAAATTCTGATAATTAGCTTGTCAGTCCTGTTGGATTTAAACTCTTCTCTGTGCAGTTCTGCAGCTCAGACAACAAAATGACAACAAAATGTGTCTTTTATTAAACAGTTGAAGGACTTACCCACAGAGCACCCCTCCCCCCGAAGTGCTGTTGTGAAGATTTGCTGAAGTGGGAGTGTTGGAAATGGTAGGAGGTTCTTTAAGGGACAGAAGCCAATGTCAAGGTGCTATGATGCAGTCAATTTTATTTTTGATATATAGCCTTTTCATAACTACTAAGAGTGACAGTTACTTGATTGTAGTATAGAACTGAACAATGTGCCTTGAAAAAACACACCCCTTTAATACTATCATCAACCAGTTCTTCTTCTTCTATTAGTTTTTATTTGGCGGTTGGCAAACATATCATCAACCAGTGGAGGAACAGGACACAATATGAAGGCTGAAGGCTAATTACAAAATTAGGAATGCCTGGGCTGATTAGAAGCAGAAACAGGTGCAGTAACTAAAAAACAACAAGCAAGAAAGAACATCAAAAGACGTAACATCAAGTGAGAGCTTAAATAACACAAAAAGTCCACAAACGACATTCTCCAAAGATTGTTAAGAGAGTTATTTACAGGTAAGATAATATTTCATCATAAAAACTGTTCCAAAATGACTGAACTGTCCCTTTTAAGGCTTAAAAATCTCTGTTGTTTTTGCTAAATTGTGGAAAATTGTCGATTTATATACATAACAGCTACTCATGGCTTTATTAGTGAGCTGTGAGACGGATGTCTGGTTAGAATGTGAGCGCTTCGAAACAAAAAGATTAATATATTTTTTAAACTCTCTTTATTTGTTTCTCCCTGAACATGTCTGCATTCCTCAGAGATTATTTGTTGTTGTATTTATCTTTGACTTGGCAGATTGATATTTTACTCACAGGAGGATTCTTTCGCTCGGCACATAATGAAAATCTTTCCTCTGTTCCCGAGGTGCTGTGCAAACATTCCAAGTGATTTAGCCAAAGCAAAATTAAATTCCTCAAATGATTTTTTTTCTCTCTCACTCTCTCTGGTATGCTCATAAAAAGAAAATAGTCGGAGATGCAGACAGAACATTCCTCCATCATGCAGTCTCTGTTGAAACGGGAGTTGTGTTCCTGGCCTTCTCTGTACTCTATTCCTGTAGTCCACAGAGCTCCGGCCAGATGCAAGGGTGGTGTTTCACCATACGCCGATCCAACCCAAACATCTGCCTGGCAACACTCGAGGCCTTCTCCCCGAGACAAAACACAGGCCTGCTCTGTGCAGCAACATCACAAATGATTTCTCTGTTTGACAGCGAGTGGCTGCTGCTTCCAGTAGAGACATTCAGATCTGGAAATGGATTTACCAGGACTAGGCTTTTCAATTCATTAAATAATCGTCACTAAATTTCCTCAGAGTGTACAAAGTTGCAAGGAAGAGCTTTTTTGACCTCACCTACAGTTACAGTCACCGAATTCTTCTTTTTCACTTTAAAAGCCTGAATTTAGAAGAAGGTGCCATGATCAGAGGAGAGTCTGGTGCAGTCAAGCTGAGAACACAGTCTCCACAGTGAAGCATGGTGGTGGCAACATCATGCTGTGGGGACTGGTGAACTAATCTGGGTTAAAAGAGTGACACGATGGTTCAGTGGTTAACTCTGATGCCTCACAGCAAGAAGGTCCTGAGTTTGATCCCCAGTTTGGACCTGGGGTCTTTGTATGTTTTTCTTGTGCTTTCTTTTTTTTTCTCTCACATATACTTCATTTCCCTAATTAAGTTGAAATTTTGGTTATCTATTCTTTACTGGAATAAATATTTTTTCAGCCAATTTTTTACTTCTACTCCTTACATTTTAAACAGCCTCATTAATCCTGTTTCATTCCAGTTTGTCATCTTTAAAAAGGAACAAAAAAAGATAATTATCCAGATACATAGTACCGCCCAGATAGTGAATTTAGTTTTGACACCCTATTGATTTGTACAATCCATTACATCTGAATGACAAAAATCCTGAAACACTTCAGCAGGATATACATGTTAAACGTGTTAGATGTATGTAGTATGGAGATGACTATGGCAGAGACATGTTACAGATGAAACAGGTTTCTTAGTGCACCAAACATTTGTTAATGTAACTTTTTAGTCATTACGTTTTTTAGGGCAGTCACAGCTTAATAAATGTAATTTTGGAAATTCTAACTGCTATCTTTTACTCAATAAAGTGCTTAAAGGACTGTAAATCATTCAAATACAAAAAGTCAAAGAAAACCTTTTTATATTTAAGAAACTTGACATTTTGCCCATTTTATCACATACTGTAACTGGCTTATTTTCTTTTAAACTTGACTCAGCCAAAGTGAAACGGGAAGTGACATCAAAGGGGAACGTTGAGAAAAAACTCCTCTGTCTTTGTTTGTTGAAACAATATTATTTAAACTCAAACTCTTCTTCATCTCTCTGAAAGTGACTCAAAGTAATTTAAAGAAATATCAGATTCTTCTCTACCATCTGTGTTGTCGGCCTATGTAGCATCATTCTCTTTACATTCAGACATTCCCCTTTGACATCACTTCCTGTTACTTGACATGCAAATATCTCAACTGTTCATGTCAGCAGCGTAAAAAAGTTTTCATAATATGTTATTGATGTTCCATCCATCCATCCATCCATCCATTTTCTTCCGCCTATCCGGGGTCGGGTCGCGGGGGCAGCAGCTTCAGGAGGGAGGCCCAGACCTCCCTCTCCCCAGCCACTTCTTCCAGCTCCTCCGGGGGAACTCCA